GTCTCCCCTGTACAACCACTTCAACCCCATGGGTTGAAAAATATCTAATGCATCTGCCCAACCTGACCTCAAACCCTAAGTATCCTATTCCAAGGTTATTTTAGCTTTATAGTTTGAGTCTGGCACAGGACTACAAAGATGATTAAGGACTGGAGCATCTTTCATACACAAAGGAGCCATAAGAGCTGGGACTCCCCAGCCTAGAGATGAGGTTTGGAGGGATCTTATCAGGAGACAGACTCTGAGGGGCTAAACTGCATGAAATACTACCTGAACACAAGAAAACACTTTCCCCACACACACACTGTAAAGGTGGTCAAACATCAGAATAGGTTGCCCAGAGAGATTGTAGTCTCCTTCTGCAGCAATATCCAAAACCTGACTGACCGCACGTGGTCCTGGGCAACTGCTCTGACTACGCTTGAACATGGAGTTTGGACTAGAAGATCTCAAGAGGTCCCTTCCAACCTCAACAATTCTGATATATGTTCTTAAGGTTCATTCATGGTTTCACCAATGCAAGAGCAGAAACCCAGGAAATTAATTCAGTTCCTTGTCATGTACAGGACCGAGAGTGATAACAGTTTGTGTGGTTTCTGTTATGCCATTTCCCTCCCAACAGATAAATGAGGCCATTTATAGCATCTCCTTCTCTTCCCTGCAATGCCAATGAGCCTCTTACTAGGTGGAGCAACATTACAGCTCTTCTGGATCTACGGGGCCCCAACAGAAGTTTTCACCTTCCTTCTAGCTGCCCACTGTCCTTCATATTCACCACACACTTCCTAACAGCCACTTCTGATCCTCCTGTTTTGCAAGAAGTTTGCTAGTACTGATCTCTCCTTCTCACCCATCTCATTGCACCAGAATTCAGCTCTGCCAAGGCTGTACCTGTCCATCAACAGCATGGTTCACAACTGCTGTTAACATCCAGATATCACTTTAATATTCTCAGGCAGCTGTTAACTTCCCTAGGATTTTACCTGCAAGAGGTTTGCTTAGGACCTGAAAGTTCAAAGCCACTGATTAATTAGCAAACATTTTGGAAATGTAGGCTTAGAAAGCAGGACATTTCAAAAATTTTAAGACAAAGGTTGGGGCTGAAATAAACTAGATAAATCTAAATGTGTGTAATAGAAAACAGATGTCAGTTGAGTTATGTGAACACACAGGAGGAAGAGAAAGACTCCAGCTACGAGGCACAGATTCCCAGCTGGTGCTCAATGCACGTGCATTGTACAGCGTGGTGTCACCAGCCAGACAAAACGGTTTGAGTAGCAGGCTGGTCGCTGTGCCCTGGCTGGTGATTACACCCTGCCAGAACGAAGCTGGCTTGTGCAGTGCCACCCTGAGCTTTTTCATGTCCTTAGCACAGTTAGTGTAGAGCACAGCCTGAAAGACTTCCCCACAACCAAGAGGGCTTGCAAACAGAAACCTTAGGGTCTCTGTAGTTTGCCACAACTGAGAAACTAAAGTAACAACTGCTCTGTCTACAAGGCAGCAAGAATCGGCATCAGCACACAGTTTGTTCTCAACAAGGTTAGATGAATGCTTCCTCATTTCTGACTTTGTACTGAACTAATAAAAATTAAAATAGCTTTCAGCGTGTGATGTCTGCGGGTGGCCTGTTCCCATGATGCACTAAATAAGCCACAGCCTAACAGCTGTGCAAGAGGCAACAGCACAGCCTGAACAGGGCCAACACACAGGCTATGGAGAAGTATTTGTCCCCGCTGTGTCCTGTGTCACACAGTCCACTTACTCAGGATTGAGCTATGAGGAAGCTGAACTGAGTCCTTTTTGCTTTAGTCTTGGTTTTTTACTGTGTGCTGACACTGCTGACAGAAGTACTGGTGAATACCTGTGGAAAGAATCGCTTTGAGAGGAAGACACAGAGACATGTTATTTCAAACATGGTCATGAACTTTCTTTGCTAAATGCTGTAGGAAGGAAGAGATGTCTTTCTTGGGAAAAGTTCAGTCTGCTGTAGAGAATGGACTTAACAGACCTCCTATGAAGCCTTCATCTAAAACCTTAACAGTGAAGAGCAGAGCACAGGCCATGTTTCTTTATGGGAGAGAACAGCTACCACAAACACCCATACTTTATGTCTCTCATGCTGGAGTTGGCTACAGCCAAACTATAATGCAGATGCTAATTTTATAGTACCAGCCAAGAAGAAAGTTTTCACAGTTTCACCCAAAAAGGGATCTATGTACACCTGGGGTTGTCTTCTCTGCAGGGGAAGTGTCAGAGCATTTGCATTTGAGGCCATTCACAAAACTTGGTCTGCAGGATCGCAGGAGGGGGGAGGTCACCCAGTTCCTCTTTCCTCACCATGGCAGAACTGCATAAATTCATCCAAATGCTTTTACCATAAAACCAGCCTATCTTAAGTAGGTTTTCCCCTTACAAGAGTCAGTGACAGGGGACTGCTTGCCTTGGCAATTGCTCTGACGTGCATGATGAAACTGCTTGACATTGCCCAACCTGTGTGCAGCTGACAGCTCATACCAGGGAGGCCTTCTGTAACAGTAAGAAAAGTCCAGAAATTCTGACTGTGTATACATTTTCCAGAAATACTAAAGCCAGTGTAAGATCTTCGTATGTTCCTTCCTTTCTGCATATAAAGAAAATAAGCTGAGTTATTTGTTACCTAGAAACAACAACAAAAATCCAAAGCTCCCTTTAAAAACACTATTTAAATGTAGCTAAAGCACTCCAAAGAAGCTGTATCACAGATGTATGGCAGCCAGACCCACCACACAGTCCTTCCCTGGCTGCTCAGACAGGGCAGTGCTGCCAGCAGGACCCACCTCCGCTCCTCTTCCAGGGTGGTCTCTCAAGTGCCAGGAGCACCAGCACCCAGGTCCCTTGGGTGCAGCCCCCCTATGCCAAGGGACAGGCAGCTGTACAGGGAAAGAGCTAGCTTACCTGTAGAGAGCCACGTGTTAAAGTGCAGGACAGCAGATCAGCTTAATGCGACTCACTGAGTGCATCAGACATCAAAAAGAGTGGAGGCTGCTGTCCAGTTGACAAGGCTCTGCCTTCAGCGTACCACCACAGGCAGATAGACTTTCTGGGCACAGAAGTCAGATCATGCACGCTTCCCTTTGACAAACACAGCTTCTCCGTACAGAGCGGTTGCTGATCCAGAGCAGTTTCCAGATGATCTATTCCATGCCTGTCCCCTCCCCTCCACCTCAAGTTCTCTTTGAATTTTAATGCGTCCCGAACAAGCAAGAAGGGTGAGAACCTCTCACTAACAGGGATCCAGCTGGCTATGCGAGATCTCCTGCCCCAGCCACTCCATCTAACGAAGGACACAGACACTCGTGCTTCCCACTCCACTTGCAGCCGTGGAAGCAGGAGGCTGTCCTCAGCCCCATGCTGTGCTTTGTGCACTCAGAACCCCATAACCCAGAGAGGAAGGGGCTGGCGAGAGCTGGCTCTGGGAATAGATTTCAGGATCAACATCCCTTTGTGCTCACACATCCTTCAGCTATTAGAATTTACTCTTGCTCTGACCATAACTTAACTAATAGTTAGTCCCTAGTAATTATGAGTGATTAACACTCGTAGTCTAGGGAGATGCTATTTAAAACTCCCTAACTCTGAGAGGCGCATATATATATATATAAACAACAAAAAAGAAAGAAACAAACAATAAAATGCTCATGTTGTGTTCTAGGCCCAAGTTTGGAGGAAAACAGCAGAAAACTTTGGCTTTTGCCAGAAAGTGTCAAAAAAGTGATTTTAATCTCTGGTCAGCTTTATTTGTTTATAAAGCACAAATCTTCAGGCACTATTTTCTGTCTTCTTTCAGTCCGAAAGGAAGGGAGACAGGCTGCTTGAGGCCTAGGTTATCCATCAGGAAACAAAGGCAGTTTAGGGTTATTGGAAAAGGGGACGCAGGCTTTAGTTTATGCAGGTTGTTAAATGGTACTAGGAAACATCTGTTGTGACCTGGTCACCTTATAATATCATCTCCTGCACAAACCCTAAGTTGTGTTTTTTCAGGGGGACTGTTTTGGCCAAGATCATGACTTTCAAAATTTATTTTTACTGTGTGAATTTTGTCATCACGATCATTCCTCCCATTATCCCAGCATAAAGCCCCTTTGTATGCACAACACCAGCTGTACCAAAAGATTGCACTATTTCATTTATGCCACTAACTGCAAATAAATCCTAATCCAAGATGCAGTCACAGGACTTCAATCTTGCTAAGACTAAGGAGGAACACTGTAACCCTAAATAGGGCAGTATCAGAAAAACATCTTAACCAGCATTAGACTCCCTGGAGCTCTCTGCCTTCATCTCTACACAAGCTATGAGAAAGGAGCACCACACATCCCTCTGGAGTTCAGACTCGATTAAAATTCAGTGCATTGGTATCTTTAGTCTCCAGTTGTTAATATTTTTGTGCTAGTAACTCCTCTGTGCATATTATGAGGTGATAAGTTTCAGACCGGTTGGGTTATTTTTAAAGCCATCAGTGCAATGCTTCAACTTACCTCTGGTATTTCATCATAGGTAACAAACTCAGCTTTTGCCAGAATGGTGTTGTCTCTGACTTCAAACTGAGTGCTAGAGAATACTTGTTGGATAACCTTATTTTGGTTCTGGTATGACATTTAAGTTTGAAGGAAAAGCAGTTTTCCCTTGATTGGAGTCAATAAACTCCAGGGCACAATATTTACAGGCAGAATTTCAAGACACTCAGCTTTAAATTTTCCTTTTACATTTAAAACCAGTTATGATACACAAATTCAGAGGTTCTCTGAGAGTCACTGGTGATCTCTCCTGAATTAGGGACCAACTGGCCACATACACAACAGATTGAAGAACATTCTAGTTGACAATGGCTGTGCAATTTAGTTTTCTATTTCAGAAAAATACATTGCCAGATTTAAAATAAGGATGAACAGTATCGTACGTACATGTATCCCTCCTCCAACCCCAGATCACAAAGCCCAGCTCCCCATGTGCTACCTTACCTTCTGAAATAGCCTTCTTGACAGCTTCTAGGTAAGCATCGGGCTCATCATCATACGTGAGTTCTTGCCACTGATACCAGTCCTCGAAAAAGGTCAAATAGTCATCACAGTCCGTAACACCGCAGTACAGCTTGACTACTTTGTGCGGGGGCCATAAAGCTTCCTGAAGGCTTTGCAGGACAGGAGGATAATAAAAACTCTGCACCAGCTCCACAGATAGCAAGACGATGATGCTCCGACTTTTGACGAACAGGTCCAGCTCCTGCTGGGAGATGGCAGAGTCGCCCTCCAGCTGGTAGCTCAGAATCCGATGCTTTCGGATGTGCCGAGTAGAGAGGAAGAGGTCCCGAAGGTACTGACACCATTCAGTGGCGTCACTTGCATACACAATCAGCACATCATATCCTCCGTGAGTTCCTGTACAGGTGCAGACCATCATGGAGAAGAGGATTAAACACAAAGCATGAACTGACCCTCAGTTTTACAGGAAAACGTCTGCAGTACTACCTCTGTAATTCGCGTAAGAAGCTCCAGAACACTTTCAGAGCACAGTAGACACATCTAAAGCGAGCAGGTGTTCACAGCCACAGAGCAACTCGAAGGGTGTCTCAACTCCTACTCACACTTAGCCCACTAAATCTGAAGTAGTTTTTTCATTCTCAAAAACCTTTAGTGAAGAAGGGGATTTCCTGTGTAGTTTCAAGCGAAACAAACCACACGTGGAAATTTTCAGATGTAAAGCGTATCAATAGGGAAAAGAATGAAGAGGAAAAAAATCAGCATGAAAAGGAGAGTTCATCTTTGGGTGAGAAGTGGAATTGTTTTAGGCAACCTCAGATGCTCTGCAACACAACTGTAGCCCATTACACGCTCCAGTGGAGAACGCACTAAACGCGGTGCACCTAAAATAAGAGAGGCCTTCATTTAAGTGAGGTCTCAGTGCTCACAGGAAGTCACGATGGCTTCCATGGTGTTAGATATTTTGCTCTCATTGCAGCAGAAAGCAAACTCTCTGCAAGGTAGATGTGCAGCTGAAGGATATGCCAGCCCCAGTGCTTGTAGCACAACAATCCCATTGTTCAGGCTTCAAACACTTTGCAAGCTTCAATTGAAACTCCAGAACTGCCAAACAAAAGTTTCCTGACCTGTCTGGAATGAAAACCCCTCTCCTTGGAGGGAAATAATACAATAGCAGCAGTTATAACAGCCTGACATACACTCAACATTGACTTATTCAATGCCTCTCTAGAGGTATCTGCTAACTACACCCTCCTGCATTTCTGTGCTCTGGATTAAAGGCCCTTTAAAAACTTCTTCCCGTTTGCTGCAAAAATCACATGCGGATTGAACCACTATGACACAATGCAGTGCCATTCCCATAAATCCCAAGAAAGTTCTGAAGTTTAAGTTTAATTTCTCCCTTCACCTGTGAAGAAGTTTACTCAGATTTGAGGATTATGGCTCTGGTCCCGGGGCAAATTTCAATGCTGAGCATTTCAAATGTCATTAGCGAACTGCCTTCTAATTCCAGTTGGACTGGAAGTGCCAATATTTCCAGCCCATCTCCATCCAGAAGCAAGCAAACAAAGACAGATTTTGCTAATTAAAGTAGAAGGCAATGCCTAAAATTTGGCATGCCAAGAAGAGCATCTGCAAAGAGTGAATTTACCAAAATTGAAGATTACATTTTTGCAGTCACCTTATTAAAATTCAATCAAAATTGAACAGCCTCCAAAGACTCCCTTCTGCACCTTCCCCAGAACCTTCAGTACAGTTGTAAGAAAGACTGAAATGACATCTCGACTATTGCACCACAGCTCCAAACCATACAGATACGAACTTAAAACTGTGGTTGAGCAGAAGTGATGCAGTTGAAAAGTACAGCCCAGAGATGGGATCTGTGCTCGGAAGGCTGATGGCTTAGCTATCGAGAGTATAGGCACTGCAGTTCAGCAGCATTCGGTGGGATTGCTGCATGTTTCGGAATGAATACAGATCTCAAACCCCAGATGGAATCTTGTAGGAGAAAGCAACCTCAGTGAAGTGGATCCAGTAAATTCATAAAACAGACAAACAAGACCCAAAGCCTGGGAACCTTTAGGTTAAAAGAACAGAACCACTGAAAAAAAAAAAAAGGCTTTCATGCCAGCAAGAACACCACTATCATCAAAATATTGCTTTTGGCTAAACACCGCCTCACAAGGACAACAGAAACAGAAAAACAAAATAGAATTCAGAGATCGATTGTTTTATTCTACAAAAGGGAGAACCACCAGAGACTTCTGCTTCTACAGCCCTATGCGGAGGTACCTGCGGTAGTCGGATGGAGTCGGACCTGCTCTGCTCCTGGGAGCAGGGAGGGGGGGAAGTAAGGTCCTGAGGCATGGTGTGGGGGAACATTGAACACCCCCCAGCACCACAGTTTTGGGAGATGCACAGCTGCTCTCTCAGGTGTGCCCAGGGCTCCTGAAGTCCTACCCTCAAGCTCTCTGGAAGGCACCTATCTCCAGGCTCCGGGCAGCAGCCTCCAGGGCATTTTAACAGTGTGCAAAATAGAGCACCTAATCCTACCCTGCGTGTTTAAAAAGAGCACAGGATTGGCAATTACACTTGTTAGCAAACAGCCCCCTCAGCAGTCTTTCAACAAAAGGAAGCAGCCATGCTGAGGGTGGGTGCGCTCGGGAAGCCGGTCATTTTACACCCTGACAGCGCTGCCGGGTGCTGCAGGAAGCCTCCCTTCTCCAGCAGGTATGCAGACAATGTGAACTGGACAGGCTCTCTGCAAGCTCCCTGCCAGCATTTACACCCCAAGATAACATCACCCAGCGCGTGCAGCCTGTACACCCAGGAGGAACAAACTTCACCCAGTGTGTAGGAAAAGTAGTGATCTAGAGCAGGAGTGCTGCTCTGGGCACGCCGTGCCCCACAGAGCTGTGCCAGAGCTCCTCAAGCTGCCTTGCCTCAAGTCCTACAGCCTTTTGCTCATGCCTCAGAAAAACTGCGGAACAACGGTCTTTAAAAGGGGAACTGCAAAACAAAATTACTGACTCTGCTAGTAGAGCCAAGGAAATTATCTTGGTTCATAAGCAAAAACACTGGGTCGTGAAGAGCCAAGTAAGCTTAAGTCAGCAGATGGGACCATTTCAAAGAAAACATAAATGTAGACTTACTTTCAATTGCAACATACCCCTTTTTTTTTATTATTATTATTTTAATTACATGAGGCTCACTTTCCTGTATCATGCTATTTCTGTCCAATCAAGTATATCCCTTTGCAGCACCAACTAGTGTCTAGTCCTCAGGGACTAGTCCTCATGTGACAAATGGAGAATGCAGAATGTCTGGGGGAGTCCCTCCCCAGCTCTTGACACACCAGTTACAGTAAGAACTTGCAGAGCACACTTCAAAGCACGAAAAATAAAGCATAAATAAACTGCCAATTGTACACACAAGGAAATCCCTATGTGAACCCCAAGCATATTGTTAACCCTGAACTCGGGTGCTTTGATGATGCACTCAGCAGGCTGATTTTGGACAAACAAGCACGAGGAAGCCTTCCATTCAAGAACAGCATATGCATTAGCAAGACAAAGAAAGATCTGTGCCAGCCAACTGTTTCAAAAATCTTTCACACACAAGTGTAATCTTGTTTGAATATCAGCAATACCTCACTTCTGCATTCCCAAGCTTAGGGTATGAGTGATTTTTGCTTCTTTGCTTACAAAACGTCAGCAACATTAACAACATTGCAGGGCATGATTAACTATTTCATGGAAAATCATCCAGGTGTGGTTCTGTTGCAGTTTACAATGATAAAACAATCTTTGGACTCCTTTCCAGCTGTAACTCCCTTATTAATGCTTAGCTGCACGCTCAGTTATACAGCGCTGACGTAAGACTGCTGTGATTATGAACTAGCACCGTAGAAATGTCTAAGCTCTCCAACTGGGACTGACAGACTAAATAGCATGGAGAAAGCAAGATACGCAGCTTCCCTTTACTTTATGAACTGCACGTGAAATAGAAAGGAATAAATCACTTAAGTCAAAATCTCCAGAGGCTGGTGGCAAGAGAAGAAAAGTATCCTAAAGCGACCGACTGTATCACAGCCTCATAGTCCCTCTGAGAAAGAAATTAATCTTTGCACCGTGGTTAGGAGTAGTGAGGCAACAATCTCTGATCTAAGAATAAACATGAGATAGCAATTTATGGCGATATTAAAAGATTCTGATTACCTCGTGGAAGATCCTAAATACTGCTGAAAGAGCTAGAGAACACCGCAGGAAGCAGGTGGATCAGCTCTGGGTAAGACTACACCTTGCTCACTTAACACTTCCCAACTTTGAATCTAAATCCCTGCAGTTGTTCCCACCCACTGCTTTATTGTGCAAGCCAAAATGTTTCAGCTTTTACAGTGTACAGATCATAAGTAGCTTTCCATTATATTTCTGTGTCCAATAAAGGAAATTCAAGGCCTCTAACATTGCACAGCTTCTCTACGTCACTTTGCTCATCCCCTTCCTACGCAGACCATGACTTCTTATGGTCCAACAACCACAATGGGTTAAAAAAATGGCAGATAAATCCTTTAATCCAACTCAGAAGATCTTATCTAGTGCCATGTTAGCCAGTTTTCATCTGCTAAATCAAATCTGCCTCAAATTCTGACTAAATGAAGAAGTACACAGCCCGTTATCAACATCATCAATTTGCTTTGGCACGCATGTGCATGGAAGGTATAAGAATATACAGAGTCCAAACCCGTGACAGAGGGGGATGCGCTTCTTATCAAAACCAATTTCTTATCGTATAAATTAAACTCAACCCAAGGTGTCTTAAAAATCCAATTCTTAAATGAGAGGGACCTCCCCAGGAGGTACGAGGAGCCGCTGGTAGGCCACTCAAAGAAGCCCGCTGTACCTTTCTGACAGCGGTGTCTGAGGTGTGTGCATTTAAGTGATGTAGGAGGAAATGAACGCATCCTTCACCTAGCTGGAATGCATAACAAAGTAACAATGATCACACGCAGTAATTATTAACGTGCAACCGTCTGGAATGGAAAACCTTCACTTTAGACTGCTGCAAACAAGCAAGAGGAAATAGAAACAAACTAGATAAGTTTGGTGAAGACTGCTTCTGTGATAGGAACGTGAGATTTGCATTACGATACACTAACCTGAGGTCGTTTTACTTTTGAGCCTCTCTGAAATCATCTTCTGTTTTTAGGGAGAAAAGTAGTTTTGCCCACAAGTCTCCCGAGGTCCCCGTTTAGCTTATTTTACATCACCAGGAGACATGCGTCAGTGAAACCCCACCGTTACTTCACACCCCGCGAATGGCACGCTTTTCCTTTTTTAGCTAAAACGCACCCGCTTCCCCGCAAAGAGGGGAACTTGCAGAGTGGGCACCAGCCAGATTACACAACGCGGGTCAAACCCCTCTCCCTCTGGAGTTTGCTCTTGTCCATTAACCCCGCGTGTGCAAGCCAAACCCTTTCCCTGGCACCGACCCAGCGCAGCCTGCTTGCCGTCCCGTGCCACAGCGCAGCAAGCCGTACCCCAAAGAGAGCTCAGGCACTTTTGGGGAAGAAATGCGAGCTGAGAAACCTCTCCGCAGAGCCGGGGAAGGTCCCTGGGGCTTGGCCGAGCCCTGCGGCACCTGCCGAGCTGCAGCCAAGCGGAGCGCGGCGAGGCGGAGCGCAGCGCAGCCCGGCCACAGCCCCCAGCCCTCCCTTCCCCTTCTCCCCAGGAGGGACCCCCCCGGCCCCTCCACCCCCCTCCGCGGCACCTACCGGGGGCCGTCATGGTGCGGGCGGCCGGGGCCGGGGCCGCTCCCGGTGCCCGGCGGGCGGCAGCGCTCGGGGCCGGCCCAGCCGCGGCCGCTTCCTCGGGCCGGCCGGCGGCTGCCTCTGCCCGCCCCGCCCCGACAGCGCCGCCCCGGCTCCAGCCCCGGGCAGGGGTTTCGGGGCCAGGTGCTGCCGGGCTCCGGTCTGCCAAGTCCTGCGGGGCTCCTCCGGGATGCTCCGGGAGAGAGCGCTGCCTGCGGCTCCTCTGCGGGGAGAGAAGGGGGAAAGGGCAGGTGGAAGGGGAGTGGTAAGGGCGAGGAGACGGTCAGAAGTGGAGAAGAGGAGGAGGGAGCACGGCAAACAAGCGGTGAGCACAGCTCGGTGCCCTAACTCGGATTTACTCCGGTCCACAGGACTACGCTCGTGTTTGAGAGCAGAGAAAATGGGCAGCAGAAAGGCTCCGCTGGAGTTCGCAGCACAGCCTGTCCCCGAGACAAACCACCAGGGGCTGCCTCGCTGATTATTTCAGGCTAGTCCCTTGCAAACTCAGAAAAAAAAAAAAAAAAAAAAAAAAAAAAAAAGCCAGCTGCACAGCTTGGCATCCAGAAACACTTCTTGTTGCACTCCAGTATGCAAAACCAGATTCCCTTGCGATCTGGGAAAGAAAGTCCCACCCAGGCTGTGCATGTAGCTGAATGTCACGAACACCAACCCTACAGCACATCCGTCAGCTACCTGCACACGGTAAGGAGCCAAGACTGTTTCCCTCTAATCAACTCAGTCTTTAAAGTTAGATTAAACTCTCCTGCTACCTCCAAATCCTTCTTCAACCAAAGCCTAATATAAGCTTACACAGAACTACGCGCCACAGCCTGTCTTCCAAAAACTGGCAGTTTGCTCCTTTGGTAAGTACAAGGATAAAATCCCTGACGATACAGCCTTATGAGAAACTTAGGGCACATGGAGAAGAAAGCAGCACTTCCCCAAACAAATCCCAAAAACGTACAATAGAATAAAGAACAGCTGGGTGCTGTAGAAATGAGCCACTACAGAATGCACTTCTGGTTTAAGAAAGGGACAAAAACTTATCAGTTGGAAGCTAGAGTCTCTATCCAAATTCCTTGAATGTTATGGAATAATACTCTGTACTATAAAATAGATTAAAGTAAAATAGATGGATAAACATACATATCCATAATGACTGTTCCACGCTATTTCCCGTGTAAAGCTGTGCATCTTTTAACTCTCAGAATAAAACATTAAAAGATTACCTCAAAACCATCTCTCTGATATTAGATTAGGATTTCAATATACTCTTTGGAATCAACTTTTAAATTCTTTCTCCCTTTGCTAGCCCTTTGTATGACACTGCCAGGCTTTAGAATCAGCTTCTTGCTCCATGAGAACCCATGGGACTTCTCCCTATGCACCAGTGTCACTTGGGGTGCTGAGTATTTTATTTAATCAATGCAAAGCTCACAGGAAACCTCTGTAGCCACTAAAGGAAAATTAATATGCCTCCCCAAAGGACTTTAGGTGAAGTAACTGTCAGCGCATTATTTCAGCAACCTTTACAACAACCTCCACCTGAAAAAAAAAAATCTGATGACAACTAGATGCTTTATACATTAGGAATCAAAACATGCAGGTCTCACTTCAAGGCATGGAAGAAGAATTTGTGGGTTGGGAAAAAGCAACAGAAATGCCTTATTGCTCTGCTGACGAAGAGCCAGGTCATCTCTCCGCATTCTCTGGGTCTCAGCCCTCATGCACTGACTGCAGTTCCGTGCACAGTAGCATGCTATATCAAATTTCTCCTCCTCTATAAAGAAAAACAAATCTCAACTTTAATTCAGAGAAAACGTGAGCCCTGCTGAACTACGTTTTTTAGTTAGGAACCTGCATGACCTGCTCCTCCCACACTGGAACTACACTACCCCTTAACCCACCCTGCAACGTAAGAGCTGAGATGTCACCCTGGACTTATAAAGCACATCCGACAATTCACCACAGGATGTATGTTATTACCTCCAGTTCCCCTGTGGGTGACAAACCCCTGATCTTGATGCTTCTAATTCTGTGATTTCTGCCTTACCTACTGCCACATTTCCACTACAGCACCGACTCAAGCTACGCTTGACAGGAAGACATATGTCACTTTGCCTTTCCTGAAAATCTGTCCCACAAAATCCACCACACAGAGGTCAGTTCTCGTAGCTGGTTGAATTGCTGGAGCTGTTGCTCAAACCCCCGGTGCACTGATGTTAGAGGCAATTTGATTTGAGTACTTGGTAGGGAAACAGGACAGGCTCAGCTGATGACTCTCATGGCAGACAGGTACACGTCACTCCCTAACACCTGTAAAACGGGAAGGCTCTTCTCTTGCCTCCCTTGTGTTCTGGGAAACCTGCTCTAATCCATCTGCTCTGAGATTCCATAAAGGCAATAGAAAGAAACTTTGTCTATAAAAAGTCACACTTCAGTTAGTAAACAAAAAGTAACACTTCAGTTAGTACTGAAAACACAGCTAGTAGTCTCCCTGACTCCTCACAGCAGACTTAGATAACAGGACTTAAACTAAGGACACTTTACTAGCAGTGACTGTGCCTCTTCCTTTCTAACACAAAGAAGCACAAAACTTGTGCTGAGTTTCACAGGTGAAGCTTCTGGATGCATCTTACAGTCCCAAATAAGGAGGAACTGTAAGATCTGAGAGGAAAAAGTGGATCCTGGAAAGTTTATTTTCTGCAACATAAATCTGAGCAATCCCATATGTTATATGGGCAGACCACAGTGGGAGCAGCCAAAAAAAAAAAAAAAAAAAAAAAAAAAAAAAACACTTAATGAATAAGCCTTCAACTTAATAGCATTTCTCACAGTGGCATTTAACATGATGGGAGGTTACAGCACAGTAATACACAAGGTGCTTTTTGCTCCCTAACCATACAAGACCAGCACCTGGCAGATCCACTAGTTTAAAGCCACAGCACTACACATCAGCTGAATTAAATTTCCTCCTTATCAGGGCCCTGAACACACCAACAGCCCGCTGTCGTCCTGACCAGCCCCACCTGTGACACCCACCCCACCTTTGAGCCCAGGAGCTCCATTTAAGCTCTACACCTGACCCTTTAGTGCTTGCTTAGACTATTTCTGCGGGCATATCTGCTGCGAGCTTTACCCCTAGTAAGGCTGGGGATATGTTTGTATAGCCTTACAGTCCTCTTAGACTCACAGCGTTACTTACAGTCCCCTACTAACCAGCCCAGCGGCTGCCCCCTGCCGGCGGCCGGGCGTGTGAGGCCGCCCCCTTCCTCCCCTCCCCACCTCCCTCCCTCCCCTCACACACACAAGATGGCGGCGGCGCCTGCCCCGCGGGCGGAGCCCTCCCCTCCCTCCCCGTGTCCCCACTTTCCGGCGCTGCGCGCGCAGGCGGCACGTGTTGGCGCAGCATGGCGGCGCGGCGCGCGGTGCCCAGCGACCTGTTCCCGCTGGTGCTCGGCTTCCTGCGCGAGCACCGCTTCGAGGCGGCCGCGCGCGCCTTCGCCCGGGAGGCGGCGGCGGTGAGTGACGGGGGGGGGGGGGGGGCGGAAAGAAAGGGGGGGGCTGGCGGCTCCGTGAGGGGCGCTGAGCGCTGTCTGTGTGTGTGTCCCCCGCAGAAGGAGCAGGACCCCAACCACGCCTCGCTGCTGGACATCTTCAGCTACTGGCTGCAGTGAGTGGGGGGCGCATGAGGGGCGGGGGGTGCCGGGGGGGGGGGGTGCCTGGGGGGGCGGTGGGAGCGCTGCCTTTCGCCTTCCCGCAGGTCCCCCGCCGCCAAGAAAAGGAAACTCGTCCCCAACGGAGCCCGCGCCAAGGGGAAGGCGGCCTCCAGCAGCGAGGAGAGCTCCAGCGAGGAGGAGGAGGACGAGGCGCCCCCGGCCAAGAAGCCAGGTGAGGGGTGGGGAGGGCTCTGGCTGAAGCCTCTGCGTGGCCTGCACGCACACCTCAGTTTTCTGGCATGCCTGGAGTCGTTCAGGGCCTTTATCAAGGGCTGGGTTTGTGTCCTGGTCTTGTTTCTGGTAAACTTCTTGCCTGTGGTTCCCGTTAGCGGTATGCGTTCATCCTAGGTAAGTGTGAGCTCTTCATCCACGTGTAGCTTAATCAGAGCCTTAGCACAGCATTACACTGCTCTTTCACTTGTCTGGGCTTTCTGTATATATATATGGGTCCTGTAAAACTTCCATATATATATATATACATACAGGGCCCATTAACGTTCTCTCAGTTTGTAGGGACTCTCTTTATGTGAGGTCTTCTTTTTCTGATAGATGTTCGCATCTAAATGCGTAAGAATGAATGAATCTATAACTGTTTATATCTTCTTGCCTACTTGTTTTAGAAGCTCTTGCTGTATGTTACTTGACAAACAAAAACTGAAGATCAGTGTTACGGGGTTCAGACATCATTTACTGAACTCGGTATATTCTTTTGACCTGATGTGCAGGATACGTGTGTGTGAAAGTTGTGAATTAGCTTACTAGTTAGCATGCTGTCCTTTATTTGCAGCTAATGCAACAGCTGTCACCAAGGCAAAAGCAGTTCCTCCAGCCAAGAAGGCAGAAAGCAGCAGCGAGGACTCCAGTGATGATTCAGACTCAGAGGAGGAGGAGAAGCCAGCAAAGGTCAGCCTCTAGCTGCTTTAATGCATACTTGATAATGATCAATAATAGCAAATTTGACCAGCAAAATTTTCTCTGAAATGGAGCTCACTTTTCCTGTACTGTGAAGGGCATAGACTGCTGCAGGTGCAACATAATAAGATGCTTTTATTTTTCTAGAGGAAGGTTTTTAAAACCGTGAGAACAAGTTAGATTTCTTTGTATGCATTTATAAAATAAGAATCTTCCTTTTTTACTTGCTGCAGTTACAGTTTTGAGAAGTAGAGGCAGGAAAAATGGTGTCATACTTCAGGAGACAAAACAGGGTTACTTATTGTATTCAGTCTTCAAACTAATCAGGACCCCAGAGGGAAAGAACACAGCACCAACCTCAAATCTCCCTCATTTTGAGGAGTCAGAACTGGAGACTGAAGAAGCAAAGGAAGCCTCCCATGGACTTCTGGGAGGCTTCCCGGAGCAAAGCCATTATCCAGAGATTTTTTTCAAACAGTAACTGTTAGGCAGTGAGATTTCCAGCTGTTTGTACTTCCTATATATGTCCTATTTATGAGCCTCTTATTCTTTGCTCTGCTACAAAACTTAATCAGTTTTCTTCCTTTTGTTTAGAAAGGTGCAAAACCTGCAGCAAAACCTGCAGCAAAACCAGCTGTAACCAAAACCCAGCCTCAGAAGAAAGCAGAGAGCTCCAGCTCTGACTCAAGCAGCTCAGAAGAAGAAGCAGCAGCACCAAAAAAAGAGCCACCAAAAAAAGAGCCACCAAAACCAGCAACACCTAAAGCAGGTACCTCCTT